AAAAAAAAAAAAAAAAAAAAAAAAAAAAAAAAAAAACAAAACCAAAACTCATATCCCAATGTAAAGTAAAGCACATGTGAATAAATATCTGGGTCTGAATTAATGGTTAGTATTCAAGGATATGGTTAGAATTTCAAAAATGACTATTAATGTGTAATTCTTGGCATTATGCTGCCAGTCTGAATATAGCCTTTTACTCTGAAATGCTATACAATGACAGATTTTTTATAGTCTGATCCAAGGCCCTTGAACTTTCCAAAATGGCAGCAAAACAGACAGATACTGCATTTTTTAGTTTGTTTGTATTGGTGGCACCCTTTTTGAGTATTATTCTTGGCAATTGTGTAGTGTTACATGTTATTCAAAACAACGCTAAACAAGTTAGCAGCCATTGCACACAGGCTGGCTAGCGGCCTTCGGCCTAGAAAGCGTCTGGCGGCGGTGCACTTGTCACCTGTGGCCCTCGTTGTATCTCCAGGTGGCGGGGTCAGCATGCTCCCTCACGCTGCCTTCTTGGGCCCTGGGAGGCCTGACCTAGTTCCAGACTCCAGGATGAAGGCAGCGGCGACCTGGCTGAGCCTGCCTCGCGCAGTCACTAGGCACATCCAGGCCAACCTTGAACCCCGATGCGGTTTTGGGCAGACCTTAGTGAAGATCTGTGCTTAGCCATTCCTGGTGTGTTGAGGGGAGACGGCTCTTGTCCTTATAGGATAGGCTGTGCGGGAACCTCTGGGTGGCAAGCGGTAGCCTGACCCCTTGGGCAGGGGCCTGACCCCACAGGCGGGCAGACTTGGGTCCCGTCTGTTTCTCCTCACTCGCACCTCTGGGACCGGGGGCTGAGCCCAGGCCCTTCACGTTGAGCTGCATCCCCAGCCCTTTTCACTTTTGGAGACAGACTTTCACTAAGGGACTGAGTTGCCCAAGCTGGACTGGAACTTGGGATCCTCCTGCCCCAGCCTCCAAGGGCTAGGATTACACGTGTGTACCACGATGCCGAGGCTCGAGCTCTGCTTTTCACACGAAGAACTGGGACAGTGATTGATTCTGTGGTGTGGGGCCTCACTGTTCTCCACCGATCCAGGTCTCGGCTCATGTCAGGAACACATAACCGCAGTAGTTGCTACAAATGTTCTAATATTGTTTGCACTAAATCCTGACCAGAGCTTTAAAAAGCTTTGAGCCCAGCCCAGCAGCGCCGTGGATTGTGGTACCTGGTGCACTCACCGCAGAGGGGAGGAAGTTATCTGTTGGAGAAAATGAAGCGAGGGTGACCTGGGCCAGGCGGACGACCTGACCAGCGCGCCTCGTATTTGTGTGGTTGTCGTGCGGGCTCCAGCCCCCTGGCTCTTCGTTCTTCAGACGCCCGCTGCCTCCATCTCTGCACACTCGCTGAATCAAAACGAGGCCGGTGTCGGTCATTCCAGAGGAATTTGCACGTTCACCAACGTTCTCCGAACACAGGGCTCGCGTGGCACCGTGCCCGTGCCCCGTGGGACTCCCGGCGTGGTGCAGGTCGGGGGTGCAGGTCGGGGACGTCGCGAGCCACCGTGCGGACGCA